GAAGATGTAAAAAATTGGCAGGCTGGCTTTCTTGGACTGTGAGGTCTCAGTCTCTGATAGAGGACATTTGCAAACATTTCAGATCATTTCATGATCAGTCTTACATTGGGGAAACTAAACAAATGTATACCATGTGTACCACAAACCCACCCACACAGACCAGTATTTGCAGTTTGACTCCCATCAGCCTTTGGAGCACAAGCTAGGAGTCATCAGGACTCTGTACCACAGAGCAGACAGTGTCCCCACTAACTCAGGAGCCAGGCAGAAGGAGAAATCCCACACAAGACAGGCTCTAGAGTAATGTAGATATCATAACTGGGCATTCCTGAAAGCAGAGAAGAAACCCAAACAGGGCTCCAGCCAGCCATCAGGTGAAAAGGAGGAACCCAGACCCAGACCAGTGGTCATTCCATATGTTGCGGGAGTATCAGAGAAACTAAGACGTTTATTTTCTAAACATAACGTCCCAGTGGCTTTTAAACCCCAAAATACATTACGGCAAAGACTGGTTCATCCCAAAGATCCAGTCCCCCGGCACAAACAAGAGTAATGTTGTGTATGCTGTTCAGTGTCCAGTCCCCCGGCACAAACAAGAGTAATGTTGTGTATGCTGTTCAGTGTCAGGAGGGCTGTGATCAGTCTTACATCAGGGAAACAAAACAGCCACTGGCCAAAAGGATGGCCCAGCACAGAAGAGCAACACCATCAGGCCAGGACTCTGCGGTCTACACTCATCTCCAGGCCAGCGGTCACTTTTTCAGGGATGAAGATGTGCACATCCTGGATAGAGAGGAACGATGGTTTGAGAGAGGAGTAAAGGAGGACATCTTTGTGAAAAGAAATTGTCCATCGTTAAACAGGGGTGGAGGCCTACGTGTTCAATTGTCCCCCTCTTACAATGCTGTGATTGCTAGTATCACTCAGCCCTCTGTGAATAGTAAACAGACATCAGGTGCTAATGATCCATTGTTAGGCTGATGGTCCTTCTTGAGCATGTGATCAGCTGGTTTTGGTTGTCAGCAGCAAAACTGGTTGATCCACTCTGAGAAGGTGCTATTTAAGAGACTGAGCTGAATACAGCACTTCAGACTGAGGAAGTCTCTCGGATGAGAGACGAAACGTTTCTACATTTTTTTTGTTGTTGTTTTGCTTTGTTTTGTTTTTTTGAATGTCCAGAGGACCAGATTTAACTTTTTTAGATCTAGACACATAGTTAGTTTCTGTTTAATGTGCTCTTCTTTGGCCTTCAAGGCCTCAATAGTAAAATTGGGCTGTCTCACCCGTTCATTCAGCAGCTGGGTCTGTGCCTTCTGAAGGATCTTGCTTGCCCGGTGCCCGCTGACCGATGATTTTAGTTCCAGGCTACAGTCCAAGAAAGCCTGTGAGGTCTCAGTCTTTGATAGAGGACATTTGCAAACCGAGGTGTACCGCAAACCCACCCACACAGACCAGTATTTGCAGTTTGACTCCCTTCACCCTTTGGAGCCCAAGTTAGGAGTCATCAGGACTCTGTATCACAGAGCAGACAGCATTCCCACTAACTCGGGAGCCAGGCAGAAGGAGAAATCCTACACAAAACAGGCTCTAGAGCAATGTGGATATATTAACTGGGCCTTCCTGAAAGCAGAGAAGAAACCCAAACAGGACTCCAGTCAGCCATCAGGTGAAAAGGAGGAACCCAGACCCAGACCAGTGGTCATTCCGTATGTTGAGGGAGTATCAGAGAAACTGAGACGTTTATTTTCTAAACATAACGTCCCAGTGGCTTTTAAACCCCAAAATACATTACGGCAAAGACTGGTTCATCCCAAAGATCCAGTCCCCCGGCACAAACAGAGTAATATTGTGTATGCTGTTCAGTGTCAGGAGAGCTGTGATCAGTCTTACATCGGGGAAACTAAACAGCCACTGGCCAAAAGGATGGCCCAGCACAGAAGATCAACATCATCAGGCCAGGATTCTGCGGTCTACACTCATCTCCAGGCCAGTGGTCACTCTTTCAAGGATGAAGATGTTCACCTCCTGGACAGACAGGAACGAGGTTTGAGAGAGGAGTAAAGGAGGCCATCTTTTTGAAAAGAAATCGTCCATCATTAAACAGGGGTGGAGGCCTCCGGGTTCAACTGTCCCCCTCTTATAATGCTGTGATTGCTAGTATCACTCAGCCCCCTGTGAATAATAAACAGCCATCAGTGTGCTAATGATCCATTGTTAGGCTGATGGTCCTTCTTGACCATGTGATCAGCTGGTTTTGGTTGTCAGCAGCAAACTGGTTGATCCACTCTGAGAAGGTGCTATTTAAGAGACTGAGCTGAAAACAGCACCTCAGACTGAGGAAGTCTCTTGGATGAGAGAAGAAACGTTTCTATATATATTTTTTTTTTGAATGTCCAGAGGACCAGATTGAACTTTTTTGGATTTTTCTACCTGGATTATTGAGCATGCATCAGGATATATAGTGACTACTAATAAAAATAATTTTCTTATTGATCACTTATTATCGTATGGAAAACCAATGAAACAGGTGACTGCATTTAGGTGTCTGGTTAGATAATAAGTATACATGGCAGGATCATTTGAAACAGACTGAAACAAAATGTAAGAAAGTAATTAATTTACTTAAAGCAATAGCTGGAAATAATTGGGGTGCTGAAAAATCTTCTCTACTGAAGCTATATAGAGCACTAATGAGATCTACAATTGATTATGGAAGTATAGTCTATGGAGCTGCAACAACAACTAAACTGAATAGTTTGGATAGACTACAATCCAGAGCCCTACGGATATGCATAGGAGCAATTAAAACCACTTCCATTAAAGCTATTCTGATAGAATCAGGTGAAACTCCATTGGAAATAAGAAGAATTAAATTGTCATTATCTTATTGGACTAAACTCAAAAGAAAGGATGAAATAAACCCAGCAGCAATGACTATCCAGGACTGTTGGGAATGCAACACATTTCACAGAAGAGGATTTGGATGGAAAATAAACAAACTTGCTGAAACATATGGACTACAAAATATAGACTTTGCTCGGAGTAACCCGATAAGTATTACTCCACCCTGGCTGTTTCCTGAAAGTAATGTAGACATAAAATTGCTTGAATGGAAACGAGAACGTAACGGTACAGACATAGGAAGAAAATCCAGTAAATATATTAAAGAAACGTACTATAATTATCTACATGTATTTACTGATGGATCTAGAAACACAAAAGGAAGAGTGGGAATAGGGGGTCTTCGTTCCAGAATTCGAAATAAGTATAGTCAAGAGAATTTCAGATCAATTATCAGTATATACAGCAGAGATGATGGCGGTTATTTTTAGTTTACAATGGATTGAAGAAGTCAGACCTGATAGAATAGCAATTTTCACAGACTCAATACGAGTTTTAGACAGTATTCAAGCATATGGTGACAGTAGGAAGGATCTCATGTTAGAAATTCAACATTCTTTGTTTAGATTGTAAAGAGGAGGTATAGATGTGCAATTTTGTTGGGTTCCTGCACATGTAGGGGTAGAAGGAAATGAACGGGCAGACAAGCTTGCCAAATCAGCGCTTACCAGAGAATCAATAACTCAGATTTCATATGGGAAAGGAGAGGGTAAGTCAATGATTAAAAAACAAGGGATGGAGGACTGGCAAAGGAGTTGGGATGAAGATAGTAAAGGAAGAAGACACTACAGAATACAGAAATCAGTTACAATGCAGAATATTAGAGACAAACAAAGGAGAAATGACATAATCTTTGTGAGATTAAGGGTGGGTCATACTTTTCTCAATGACAACATGTATATGATGGGGAAAAGGACTGATAATAAATGTAAAGAATGTGGGGAAATAGAAAATGTTGACCATGTATTAATGAAATGTTTTAAATATTATGAGGAAAGGGATAAACTGAAAAGAAAAGTTGAAGAGGTAGGAAGAGTATGGAATTTGGAAGGATTATTAGGGAATGAAGGGGATAAAGACAAGATAAGGGATGTACGGAAAAAACTGATTATTTACTTAAAAAACATCAATATTATAGGTAGGATTTAGGGAAAGTGGCCTGGAATTGCACACTCATGCTCAGTAGGTGGCGGTATGCACCTAATAGTTGCTTGCAATCCGCCAATAAATTAAACGAAGAAAAAGAAGTGGTTTGAGCTCTTTATCATAGCATTTTCACACAAAGCTTTTAATAAAAAAAAATTACAAATCATTAAATAAGTCCTCAGCGTCTTTTTGCAAAGAAAAACAACTTTTTACATGAAGGCACAGCTTCAACCATGAATTTTGGAGCTTTGACGAGACAGAGGTTTTTCCTGAGGTCAGCCTGTTAGCTTAGCTTGTAGCTTAGCTTCTCAGCTTAGCTGCTTTTAACAATCAAAAAATGCGATTTTGGATCGTTAAAATTGATTTTTTTTAAATGAGAGAAAAAAGAAAGGGAGGGGTTAGTGAAGAGTACCAGAGTTGAGCCTTTTGTCATCCAGTGTCTTCAGTAGAAAGAGACACAAAGAAACAATAAAGCTGATAAATGAAAATGAGGTTGATCATTTATATTTATCATGTGATTAATTGATTTATTGTTTATTGCAACAGGCCTATGTATAAGTACAGTCCATTTACCGGCTTGTGTTGAGATCTTGTGAAAACACAGTGTGTAACTTGCAGCTCTGATAGAAGCATTTAGAAACACTAACTGGTTTGAAACAATCTTTATTTGTTTGCAGATATAATGACACAACCCCGTGATCTGTGGAAATACATTTTTCTCTGCACTTTGATTCTATCCAGAAACTCAGAATCCAACAAAGGGAAGATCAACTATTTACTGGTTGAAAATAATGTAACATAATGACCTTTCTCTGAGTTGGCTTTCTATGAAAAACCAAACAGGTTGCTAATTAGAACCAGTTTAGATCCAGAACAGAAATCAAATGAGTGAAGGCTCCCTGACTGGAGTGTAAGTGACTAAACTTCAGTAATTCTAGTTTTGTGTGGCTCACCTGAAAGCCTCGATGATGTAGGAGGTGACAGCTGCTCCACCTTCATGAGCGTTGGGTTGCCAGGTCAGAGAGACGCTGTTCTTCGAGACATCTGTGACAATAGGTTTGTGTGGTGGACCTGGCAGCTGAAAGGGTTCTGTGGCCTGAGCAACAAACGGGTCAGTGCTCTCTGAATGTGAAGGACATAAAGAAAACACAATAAGCTCTTCAATTGTATTAATATGTATTGTGCTTTCTTTAAGTAAGTCTTAAAGTTGCTCCAGACTCTTTAGGTCAAACTGTAGAAATCATTATGAACATCATCTCATGATATTATGAGATATTGGGAAATGTTTTGGCTCTCAGACTTTGGGGAGGATACTTTACTAATGACACAAATTTATCTTAACATCTGTAAAACTAGTTGTGGTATAAGGTCAGCTGACTGTGGCAGTCATCTTTAATTCTGTTGGTTGTAAAAGTTAACCAGTAATAGGTGTACAGCCAATAATCATTTTCTAAATGTTTCATTAAATTACATCTAGGAGTTCATGGAATTTTTTTCACACAAAAATAGTTGACTCTAGTAGTTAAAGGCAAAATTATGTTTGTTTTGTTCAAAAACCAACATGGCACCTGCAGGCATGTGGAATTTGAATGCTGTTTTGGTGGTTGACAGTTCTATTCCTGATATCTAGGCCGATTTCTTTTTATTTTGATATTGCACAAGAAACAATGTGTTTTAAAGGCATCCACAGGTATGCTACCAATTCTTTCAAATGTTGTCCATAAACTTGTCAACAGCTTCCTAAGTCACATCATCATCATCTGGGCTTTGACAAGTTGTTTAAAGGCACAGTAATCTTAACATATGTAAACTTGTGACTTTGAAGGGAAAAAAATCTCTCGTTATTCAGACATTTAACAGACAGAAATAATTTTAGGAATCCTAACAGACATAATAAAGATGGATGGATGGATGGATGATGGAAGAATGGATGGATGAATGGATAATGGATGGCTGGATGGATGATGGAAGGATGGATGGATGGCTAGATGGATGGATGATGGATTGGTTGGGTGGATGGATGATGGATGGATGGTTGGATGGATGGATGGATGGATGGATGATGGATAATGATGGATGGATGATGGCTGGATGGATGGCTAGATGATGGCTGGATGGATGGCTGGATGGATGATGGATATATGGATGGATGGATGATGGATGGATGGCTGGATGGATTGGTTGGATTGATGGATGGATGGAAGGATGATGGCTATATGGATGAATGGATGATGGTTGTATGGATTGGTTGGATGGAGGGATGGATGATGATTGGATGGATGATAGATGGATGGATTGGTTGGATGGATTGGTTGGATGGATGATGGATGGATGATGGATGGATGATAATGGATGGATGGGTGGATGTAGGTGGACGATGATGGATGGATGGATGATAGATGAATTAGTTGGATGGATGGATGAATGATGATGATGGATGGTTGATGGATGGAAGGTTGGATGATGGATGGATGAATGATGATGGATAGATGGATGGTGGATGGATGGATGGATGGATGGATTGGTTGATGTTTTCTTCTTCTTCTTCTAGTATTGTTTTATGGCGGTTGGCATACCAACTGTTAGGTGCATTACCGCCACCTACTGAGCTGGAGTGTGAGCAGGAGATATACATGCAAAATAAATAAATAAATAAATAAAAATAAATAAATAAATAAATAAATAAAAATAAATAAATAAATTAATTAATTAATTAATAAAAAAAAATATTCTGTGAAATTACTTAACCTTGATACTTCATCTAAATTCTATCTATAAAATTTGTTTGTTTCAAGAAAATAATAATTTGATTTTTGACTTTATTATCATCACTACTAAAAATGTTATTCATTGTAAATTTTATATTCATTTTATCCATTTCTTTTTGGAAACTTCTTCTTTCGAATTCATATCCAGTACATTCCATAAAAACATGTTGTACTGTTTCAGGGAGATTACATTTGTCGCATTGTCCCGTTGCATGTTTTCCTATTACTTTAAGTGATTTATTGAGACCTGTATGTCCTATTCTGATACGGGTCATTATTGTTTCTAGTTTCTTATTCCTTCCTGCTTTCTTTGTACATCCTACCTTTTTCTGAATGTTATATAAATGTCGTCCTGTATCGTTTATGTCCCAATTTTCCTGCCAGACCTTCCCAACATATCTATTTATTATCATTTTACATTCAGCTTTACTTAATGGAATTTTATAGTTTATATTTTTAGATTTTAACGCCTGTTTTGTAAGAATATCTGCACCTTCATTGCCTTCCACTCCCACATGTGCTGGGATCCAAACGAAATCTACTGATATTTCCCTCAAGTGAAGTTTATATAGAATGTGGTAAATTCTGTCAATTATATCTTGTCTTTCTGATTTGCTTGATTTGATGCTTAATAAGGCTGCCATACTATCAGATGCAATGACATATTTTTGATCTTTATATTTTTCAATCGATTCTAATCCCATGATTATTGCTAATAATTCTGCTGTATAGACTGACAAGTTATTTGTTGTTCTTTTCTTCATCTCTATATTGTGGCTTGGGATGTATACTGCTGCTCCTGTTAGTCCTGATTCTGGATCTTTTGATCCATCTGTAAGTACTATAAGTTTATCCATATATTGTTTATGAAAAAATTGATGCACTAAGAAGTTTCCTGACATATTTTTCCCTTTATTTTTTATTAGTTTATGCAACGATAAATCGACAGAAGGATAAATATATAACCAGTGAGGAATACACGAGTGATTAACTGTTGGACTCAAGTCTATTTCATGTAACCCTGCATGTTGGGCTTTTATATTACCTATCCAGCCAAAACTATAAATATTTGTTTTTTGATGTTCCCAACATTCTTGCAATACACTATTTACTGGGTGCGTTTGGTCATGTCCTTTAATATTAATCCAGTACACTAACATTTGTTTTAATCTTCTTATTCGTAAAGGCATTTCCCCCATTTCAACTTGAAGAGCTGAAACTGGTGATGTTCTAAATGCTCCACTGCATATTCTAAGTGCTTTTGATTGTTCTATATCCAGAAGCTTCAGATTAGTTTCTGCTGCTGCCCAATAGCTGATGCTGCCATAGTCCATTGTGGATCTCATAAGTGATTGATATATATTTACTAATGCTTTTCTACTTGCTCCCCATTCCCTTCCTGTTAAACAACGCAATATATTATTGACATTTTTACATTTTATTTTTATTTTTTCTATATGTTGTTTCCATGTTAGTTTTTCATCGAATATCATGCCTAAAAATTTTATATCTTTAACCTGTTCAAGATTTTGACCATATAATTTTAAGGAGATAGATTTATGTTTTTTAGAAAAGCAGATAACCTGAGATTTTGTTGTTGAAAGTTTAAAACCCCATTTATTGGACCATATTTCCACTTCATTGATTGCCTTTTGCATTTTATTCTTAATATATTCTAGATTACGACCACAAATCCATAAAGCTCCATCATCCGCAAATAAAGATTTACCAATTCCAGGATCTACTTTTTCAAATATATCGTTGATCATTATCAAGAATAATACTGGGCTACAAACACTACCTTGAGGAGTACCATTCTCCACACTACATTTATTCGAAAATTCCTTTCCCACTCGCACTTCTATCGTTCTTTCAAATAAAAAATTATTTATATAATTAAATAGCTTTCCTTTTACCCCAAGTCTTTCCAGTTTTATTAATAAACCTTCTTTCCAAACAGTATCATAAGCTTTTTCAATATCAAAAAAGACTGCAATTACTGATTCTTTATTAGCTTGTGCTTTCCTTATCTCAGATTCGAGGCATAACACAGAATCCATTGTATTTCTCCCTTTCCTAAATCCACTTTGATTTGGTGTTAAAAGTTGATTAAGTTCTAAATAACAATATAGCCTTTCAGTTATTATTTTTTCCATTGTTTTCCCCAATTGTGAGTTTAAAGCAATTGGTCTATAGTTTGAAGGATTTGAAGGATCTTTACCAGGTTTTAATATTGGTATTATGATTGAATTTTTCCATGTAGCTGGTATTTTACCACTGTCCCAAATTAAATTAAACAAAGTTAATATTGCTTTAGTAGACTTATCACCCATATGTTTTAACATATCATAACAAATATTATCTTTTCCAGGGGATGATTGTTTTGTATTACTAAGAGCTCTTTTAAATTCAAAGTTATAGGTAGGTCCATCTTCCCTTCATTGACTGGTTTTCTGTCAACTATATTTGGATGTTTTTTTAATATATTGTCCCTCAACTCCCTAACATTCTCTGAAATATTATCAGAACTATGTATTTTAACCAGTGTTTTAACTAATAATTCTGCTTTATCTAAATTGTTTATTGCAACAGTGTTTTCTTGTTTGATTATTGGGATTTCATATTTTTTAGTTATCCCATTCATCTTCCTTATCATCCCCCACACATCTGATAATTTTGTTTCTCTCCCTATGGTAGAGCAGTATTTTTGCCAGTATTCTCTCTTTGCCTTTCTTATTGTTCTCCTAACGATTGCTTGTTTCCTTTTATAACATATTAACTTTTCAACTGTATGCTGAACTTTAAGTTGTTTAAATCCTTTATTCCTTTCTTTAATAGCTTTTTTGCAGTCCTCATTCCACCATGGAACATTCTTTTTAATTCTACCTCCTGTACTTTTAGGTATTGTTTTATTTGCAGTCTGTATAATAAATGATGTTAATTTTCCATTAAATTCTTCAGCATCTCTAATACTTTCTTTAATAATTTCTCCACATTTTGCTTCTATCTGATCTTGAAAATGTATCCAGTTTGCTTTACTAAATTGCCACCTAGGTACTCGAAAAGGTTTTCCTTTAAGAACATCCATTCCTATTTGAATGATTATTGGATAATGGTCACTGCCAAGTGTTGTTTTGTTTATTACTTCCCACTGTGTAATTCCTGCAATGTTATTTGAGGTAAATGTTAAATCTATTGCTGTTTCTGTGTTCTTTGTGATATTATATCTTGTCCCTGTTCCATTATTTATGCACACCAGTCTGTTATCTTCAATGAATTCCTCTATGTTTCTACCATTTATGTCTGTGTGATCACTTCCCCAAAGATTACTGTGAGCATTGAAATCTCCACACCATACAACTTTCCCCTGCTCCTGTCCTCGTACTATATTCAATGTTTCAGTTTTTAATTCTTTACACGGATTATAATAATTAATAATGATTATTTTGTCCTTACCTGTCCATATTTTAATAGTAATGTATTCATGATCTTTCCCTATATTGATTATACTGTAACCTATATTATTTTGTACAAATGTCATTATTCCTCCACCCCTTCCATTATGTCTATCTCTTCTGATTGCAGTGTATCCATGTAAAACAAAATCTAACTCTGGTTTTAACCAGGTTTCTTGAATACAGATAATATGAGGTTTCTCTTGTAGTTGTGATATGTAATGTTTAAAATCTTGTCCATTTGATATAAGACTTCTTGCGTTCCATTGAAATATTTTCATGATCATGTAGAAGTACCACCTTCTGACTGCACTGGTGTTACTCCTTTGCCTATCATATTTTCTACTGCTTCCCAACCAAGGTCTTTCACATCTAGATATTTTTCTGCAGCCCTCACGATAATTTTAATCTTTTCAGTTTTCTTTACTGTTTGAGCTGAACAATTAATCACTTCCACCATAAACAGTACAAAATCCTTTTTGTTCACTATCATTGAATCATTAGCTATTTTAGAGCATCCATCACACGCCTTTGGTTTAATGTTTGGTGTTACAGTTGGTTTTGGTCTCTCTGCTTGATTTGGGATTCTTTTCACGGCTTCAGCGTAAGTAATCCCTTGAGCTAGTTTAACTTTTTGGATCTCCTCTGCTCTTTTACTGACTTGACATCCACGGTAAGCAGCAGTGTGTTCTCCCCCACAGTTACAACATTTAATTTTTGCTTCTTTTTCACATTTCCCATATTCATGTTCACCCGCACATCTTCCACATCGTTGTTTTCCTTTACAGATTGCTGCTACGTGTCCAAATTTAAAACACCTTAATGGAGGAGGAATGTATTGTTTTACATCATAGCTCATATAACCTATGAAAATTTTACTTGGCAAACACTCTCCTTCAAATGTGATCAAGACTGATAAGCTATCACATCTTTCTCCATTTCTTGTTGTTTTCAGACGTTTAATTTCTCTCACTTTTGCTCCACGTATATTTTCTAGTATTTCTTCATTGGAGATTTTTAAAGGGACTCCACTAATGACTCCTCTACTCATTTTTTTGTTTTCAACAGAACTGCACTGAACTTTCTTCCCTTCCATTTTGTTAATCTTAATGGCCTTTCTTTGTTGAATGCTGTCTCTGCAGTGAACAAGAAGTGCACCACTTCGCAAAACCTTAGCACTTCGGACTTCACCTATTAGTTTGTTTATTAATTTGGTTAGTTGAATTGGGTTCCACTCACCAAAAGATTCTCCCTCTTGATTTAATTTAATAATAACTTTATACTCATCTTTTTGTTTCTCAGTTACTATTTCATTTTCCTCATCATTTTCTGGGTTTGACATATCTTCCGCTGATGTCTGCTTTTTCCGCTTTTTCCTGCTTTTTGGAGCGGCTACCTTACTCCAATCTTCTACATTTCTACCACTATCTTCTTCCATTTCTTCAGACTCACTTCCTGATCCAAAATTACCCTCTGTAACCTCCTGCTCATTCACAGCCCAGTCGCTGCCAACCGCCTTACCAGATCGCTGACTCATCTTGCTCATCTCCCCCTTGGTTGATGTTTTGATATGTTGATGGCATTTTGTGTTTGAAGATGTGTCATTTGTGTGTAGCTAAATCACACAGGTGTGTTTTACCTTTGATTAAATCACACAGGTGTGCTGTACCTTTAATTAAATCCAACAGGTGTGTTGTACCGTCAATTAAATTACACAGGTGTGCTGTACCTTCGATTAAATCACACAGGTGTGTTGTACCTTTGATGATAAGCACTCCACTCCAACTCGTCTCTCCACTGGAGCTGGAAGCCAGGCAGGTGTAGACTCCAGAATCTGTTTCCTGGCAACAATTAAATAATGCATCATTAGCTTACTGTGCATGCATGTGTGTGTGTGTGTGTGTGGCCTTGTTTATGCTGCTTTGTGAGGCCCATTTTTCCAACTTATGCTGCATTGTGAGGACCAACTGCTCCTTATGGGGCCCAAAGCCCGGGCCCCATAAGAAGAAGTCCCGTTGGTGGGTTAGGGGCTAGGTTTAGGACTAAGGTGTGAATTGAGGATGTGTTAGGTTTAGGGTTAGGTATGTACTGGTAATGGTTAGGTTATGGATAAAGGTCATGGTTAGGCTATAGAAATGAATGAAAAATGAATGGAAGTCAATGCAAAGGCCCCATAAAGATAGCAAAACAAACCTGTGTGTGTGTGTGTGTGTGTGTGTGTGTGTGCGCGTGTGTGTGTGTGTGTGTGTGTGTGTGTGTGTGTGTGTGTGTGTGTG